AATAAAACTTTGATAATATATTCAAATAAAATATGATATTTCAGTGGGATTTACAATTCTTGCACCAATGACAGATGCATATATTTAACATTTATTATTTCATCAAAGCATTCTTTAACATTAACGTTGAATTCAAACAGCAAAAATAGAAATTCTCTACGAACGAAATGAATAAATTGTGCATGCACTACTTGGATATAACAAACAATGATTCAATTTCTTCTATATTTGTCTATTTTGTTTTGTTTAGTAATGTATTTACATTGATATTGGCTCGAGGGTGGTGGGAAGGGGTCGCTTTACGTATTTTCTTAACCTGCGCATGTTGTATTTAGTAACCAAGAACATAATTCGGCCAAACTATTGTAAAATATTTATTTTATTATGTATACTTGTGTATATTGCATATTAGTCATTAAATATATTTATACCATGTCTAGTGAGTCTTAATCAGTATTAACTTGGTCTTGTAAATCTAAGTCAGTACTAAGACGGTCTTGTGAAGCTAAGTCAGTACTGGAATGGTCTACTAAAGCTTATCAGTACGTAGATTGTCAAGTGAATCTAACGTCAGTACTGAGATGGTTTGTTACAGTTAAGTCAGTACTAAGATGGTCAAGTAAAGCTAAACCAGTACTTGAATATTCTAATTAAGTTAAGTCAGTATAAAGATTATCTTTAAAAGCTACCTCAGCCGATTTTGGTCTTTTAAAATTAAGTCAGTACTAAGACGGTTTTGTTAAAGTAATTCAGTACAAAGATGGTCTTGAAAGGCCAATTCAGTATTAAAATATTCTAGTAAAGTTAAGTCAGTACTAAGATGGTTTAGTAATGTTATGTCAGTACTAAGACAGTCTTGTTAAGCTAAGTCAGTACTATGATGGTCTTGTAAAGCTAGGTCAGTACTAAGATGGTCTTGTAAAGCTCAGGAATTGCTAAGACAGTTTTGTAAAGTTAAGTCAGTACTAAGACAATCTTGTCAATCTAAGTTAGTACTAAGACGGTCTTGTAAAGCTACGTCAGTACTAAGATGGTCTTGTAAAGCTAAGTTAGTTCCAAGATGGTCTAATAAATCTAATTCAGTACTAAATTGGTCTAGTAGATATAAGTCAGTTCTCAGATGGTTTTGTAAAGCTTAGTCAGTACTAAGATGGTATTGTAAAGCTAAGTTAGTTCCAAGATGGTCTAATAAATCTAATTCAGTACTAAAATGGTCTAGTAGATATAAGTCAGTTCTCAGATGGTCTTGTAAAGCTTAGTCAGTACTAAGACGGTTTTGTAAAGCTATATCAGTACTAAGACGGTTTTGTAAAGCTTAGTCAGTACTTAGACGGTTTTGTAAAGCTAGGTCTGTACTGAAATGGTCTTGTAAAGCTAAGTCAGTACTAAGACGGTTTTGTAAAAATAAGTTAGTACTAAGACGGTCTTGTAATGCTAGGTCAGTACTAAGACGGTCTTGTAAAGCTAAGTCAGTACTAAGACGGTCTTGTAAAGCTTAGTCGGTACTAAGACGGTCTTGTAAGCTAAGTCAGTACTAAGACGGTTTAGTAATTCTAAGTCAGTACTAAGATGGCATTGTAAAGTTAAGTCAGTACTAAGACGCTCTTGTAAAGCAAAGTCAGTACTTAGACGGTCTTGTAAAGCTAAGTCAGTACTAAGACGGTTTTGTAAAGCTAAGTCGGTACTAAGACGGTCTTATAAAGCTAGGTCAGTACTGAGACGATCTTGTAAAGTTAAGTCGGTACTAAGATGGTGTGGTAAAAATAAGTCAGTACTAAGATGGTCTAGTAAATCTAACTCAGTAATAGCATGGCCTTGTAAATTTTAGTCAGTACTAAAATGAAAATTGTGGTAAAGTCAAAAATAGTCAGAACTTAGTAAGTCTTGTCAATCTTTAACACTCAAGACGTCTTGTAGCAAGTCAAGTAACATAAATATTCATAGAAAAGTAAAGTACAGTACTAAAATGTACTAATTAAGCTATTTGCATAGAAATTTCAAATGAATTAATCATATGAGATGGGTTTTTACGTTAAGTCAGTACTAAAATGGTCAAGAAACTAAAACCAGTACTTGAATTTCTAAATTTAAATTAAATCATAAAAGATTACTTTAAAAGCACCTCGGCCCATTTTGGGCTTTTAAAATTAAGTGTAAAGACGGTTTTGTAAAAAATAATTCAGTACAAAAAAATGGGCTTGAAAAAGGCCATTCAGTATTAACATATTTTAAAGTTAAAATAGTCTAAGATGGTTTTAGTAATTTAGTAGACTAAAACAGTCCTTTTTAAAGCTAATCAAGTACTATGATGGTCTTGTAAAGCTAGGTCAGTACTAAGATGGTCTTGTAAAGCTAAGGAATTGCTAAGACAGTCTTGTCAAGTTAAGTCAGTACTAAGACAATCTTGTCAATCTAAGTTAGTACTAAGACGGTCTTGTAAAGCTACGTCAGTACTAAGATGGTCTTGTAAAGCTAAGTTAGTTCCAAGATGGTCTAAATAAATCTAATTCAGTACTAAAATGGTCTAGTAGATATAAGTCAGTTCTCAGATGGTCTTGTAAAGCTTAGCCAGTACTAAGATGGTATTGTAAAGCTTAGTCAATACTTAGATGGTCTAATAAAGCTAAGTCAGTACTAAAACGGTCTAGTAAAGCTAAGTCAGTACTTAGACGGTCTAATAAAGCTAAGTCAGTACTAAGAAGATCAAGTAAATCTAAATCAGTACTAAGACGGTCTAGTAAAGCTAAGTCAGTACTAAGACGGTCTAGTGAAGCTAAGTCAGTACTAAGACGGTCTAATAAAGCTAAGTAAGTACTAAGAAGGTCAAGTAAATCTTAGTCCGTACTAAGACGGTTTTAAAACAAATCTGTATAAAAACGGGCTGTGAAATAAGCGTCTGACGGTTATAAAACAAGCAGTATAAAAAGGTTTATAAGCTAAGTAGACTAGAAGGGTCAAGTAAAACTAAGTCAATTAAAACGGGCAGTAAAACTAGGTCATATAAACGGTTGTAATCTGTAAAAAATTTGGTGTAAGGCAATCCAAAATCGAAATGGTTTTGTGAAGGCAAATATAATTTTCGAGATGGGAAATAAAATTAGTAAGTCTTTTTGTGACAAAAGATATCAGTCTTGGGAAAAATTTTTTAAAAAATGTACTGAGTAAACGAAAAGTGCTGCCAAAACCGGTACGAATGTACCATTATTTTCCCGCTGGTAAAAAGAGCTGTTTGCGCTAGCGGGTAAGGTAAACATGTTGAATCGGCGAGACAGAGATGGCCCCAACGGAGTACCATACTAAATGCAGTACGGTATAACATAACGATGTTTTAACCGTCCGTTTGTCAATGGTATTAGTTTAAACGTAGTTTATTTCAAACTAGTATACACATTTACAATTTACAAATAAAACTTTACAACACTATGAAATGTATGAAAAAGGATTAGAATCGAAAGCTGATGCTTATATAGGTCTTATCCTAATTGAACATCTATACATGTATTGTTTAGGAAACACATTCAGTACTTAAATGCTAAAATATATAAATGTTTCAAACGTGTGAATCGTTGATAGATATAAATGAACATTTTGTACAAGCATGTTTTATGAATAACGTAGTACTTTCTGAAGCAAAACGGAAGTTCCAGAATTCGTTCTCTAAACAGACTTAGCTCTTTCATTCTTTTTAACCCTCGAAGACGTACAATTGGCCCAAAGCAATTGAACATAAAACAGAGAAAAGCAATTTGTAGGCAGATATATAAACGAATGTTTACAATTACCTATTATCATTCTTTCTCGTATATTTCTCCAAACGGGGGAAATATATCTCCATTGAAATACCCAATTTCTGCCCACGCACCATTGATCGGTGAAAAAAAATGGAATTCATATCCCAATGAAATTACTAAAGCAATTCCCAATTTTATCACCAATTGTTTAATTTACATACAAACACATCGTAAACCTCCGAATTTTCTGTATTTCATGTATGAGTTATGTCCCTTTAATCATCGAAATTGTAATCGTAGATATAAAATGAAAATAAACTTGGACGAAAAAGTCATATTAAATAGTGATATGTTATAAGGGAGAAAGTGATTGCCTGCGTCCATTCCCAAAAGATTTCGTTAAAATTATTTCGTATAATTACCGCTTTTAGGAACGAGTGAAGAATGTTAACTTTATTGATAATCTAAGGAGATATTATATTAACTGAAGTAATTAAACCAAACTGATTAAAATCAGTTCCTAAATAAAGATCCGATCTTTAGTCGCATTGTAATTATACTATTTATGTAAACCATTAACTTGCTATTGACTTGACAATGTGAAGTTTCTATAGCGTTAATATAAGAATTCCCAAAACAGTTCTTAAATAACTCATTCTAGAAATTTAAAATTCAATCGAATGAACAAAATATATTTTCGGACCAACAATAAAGTATCATAAAATGACTTTTTTAAATCCCATTTTCAGGAAGAAAAAGTCCTTGTTATCAACGCCGCTGCTTGTAGATCTGCTTTTTGTGTCCATATGCTAAGAATGACCGAATGACTATTAAGTCCAAAAAGAAAACAATCATTTGAATGTTCTATGAAGCACTTGTACGTTTCTAAAACTATCATAATTATTATGGTTATGTTGGCAATGTTAAGGAACAAAATGGTATAATGTACTGGTTACACATTTACATTAATAAACGATGTATGCAGCAGGGACTGCCACCGTAGTTCTAACCCAGTTACCTCTCTGGCGTGGGTTCGATCCACGGGAGATGCTTTGGTAGTTTAGCACAGAGGCAGGTAGTCTAGTACTGGTGTAACTCTCCAGGAACGATGGTTAGGAAACTACCCGTCTATATGACTGGAATACTGTTGGGAAACGGCGTAAAATGAAACAAACAAACAAAAGTATGCAGCAGAACATACAAAATTTTAATGTTAATGTTTTAATTATTTCCAGATTGCTTGTATATATTTTTTTCTCCATTTTACAGACTAGAATGAGAGACATCAAATACTAAACACCATCATGTCTGCCACACCAGCCACAATGACCAGTTCCATATCTCTGACGTCATTAAACGCAGACGCTGTCCCAAGATGCAGCACTCACCGGAAACGCTTAAAGTTCTTCTGCAGCAAGCACGAGCTCTTGCTCTGCTCCGTGTGCGCTGTCAAACGTCACAGAAGCTGCGAAGAGGTTCTGACTATCACCGAAGCATGTGAAGATAAAAAACGCGAAGGTAATAAACTGTTAGATATTTACAATCAGAAAATTGCAGTGGTTGAAAATGCTATTGTCGAAAGAAAAGCGGCAAAGAAGTTACTGGATACAAATGCGCAAGAAATTCAAACAGAAATTCATGAAATAACTGAAAAATTAATTGATCTTGTAAGAAACGAAGAAAGGACATTACTCGAAACAGTTATAAGTATGCAGGGACGAGAATCAGAGACACTTGAAAAAGATATAACAGGACTGGAAGATGCTTGTGGTGAAATACGCCGTGCTCACAACGATCTGGCACAAAGTCTAAAATTCTCTGACGTCGATCTGATTCACGCTGTTATAAAGGAAAAAATAAAATCTGAAGACGAAGTGGGGATTGAAACTGTTGTTAAGAAGCGGTTCAAAGAAATTGATTTTAAGTTTGTAGTTTCTCCACACATATCTTCATTTTTAAAACATTTCAAAAATCTGGGTCAGGTGATGATGTCAGAGGATAGTGGGAATCATGTCCGTGTACCAAGGTCAAACATGTCAACACCTGTGAACGAGCTTCCATCGCCAATCCCGCGCTATCATAATGACAATACCCAAGAGGTAAGACAACAACAATCACCGGAGGACTCGCATATATCTGCACGAGAAAAATGGATTCGAGACAGACAAAGACAGATGCAAATGCAGACACACAACCGTGGGGACAGTACTTCAAGCAACAATAGCGTATTTCTACCGGAACAATCTCCACCAGTTACACAAACGAGAAGAAATCAACCAATGCGGGCACTGCCCATGCCAAGATCAGAGACTCCGGATGTTTACGGCAGACCTGGTAACCAAGGATCAAGGCGTGAATTCGTTCCTCGCCCGATGTCGACGCCACCAGTCGAAACGCCAGCATATGGACAAAGTCCAAAATCAAGAGACGTAAATAGATTTAATTCATCAAACAGGTATCGATCTGCAAGACCAGAACCAGTTTACGTCCCGGAGAGGAGATCGCCAGTTCCAATCAGAGTTCCACCGCAAGGGCAACAAAATGAAATTATAGTTACAAACGGTAGGCAAGATATTCATCATGTTGAACCGGTCCATGTATTTCAGCGCCGGACAACTTCCGATCCTCAGTCCCCGCATGCAGACCGCCCACCCTCGCCATGGTCAAATCGTAACCATTCCCCACCACACGCCCATTCCCCACCACAGGCCCATACGCCGCCAACTCAACAAGCATCATATTCGGTTGTGACCGTTAAAGATGGTGACACGTCTTTTGGGCGTTCATTCGCGGCAGTCCAAATCAACGATCCAAGGGTTTCTCCAAGTCATGAACCTTCAAGTCCACATGTGTATCAGAGTAAAGCCACGATTAATATTACAACGCCAAGAAATAGGGACAAGTCCCCTCCTAACAATGGTGTGAGTGCTGTATTCTCAGTATATCCAAATACTAACCGCCACATGGTTGTTCCAAAAACTAACGAATACTCCCCAAGACTCGATGAAAGTCGAGGATTTTCTCCTAGTGGGAGCATGATGAACAGCTTGGCGACGGATGAGGAGAAGGTCTCGCGGTGGGTTCATCAGACGTCTTTTACGTCAAACGGAATCGGATCAAAGCGGCTTATCTCCGGTATTGGTATGCTATATGATGGTCGGGTCGTGCTAGTTGACCAGGAACATTATACTGTTCAACTGTATGACAATAATTACCGATTTTTGTCTGAATTAAAACTAGATTCAAGACCATTTGACGTAGCTGTGATTAGTGAAAATAAAATTGTAGTGAGTTTGCAGAGTGACCGTGTGTTGAAGTTTGTTTTGATCACTGGTGCGGGTTTGACTGCGGTAGCAGATTTAGGTGTACCGTGTGAAATGGTGTGCTATGGTGTGTGCCGGGGTGGCGGTAATTACTGTGTCTGCTGCGGTGATGAAGTGTGGATTATTTCAGATGAAGGTCGTGTTATAAATAGGTTAAAGACGGATAAATCTGGCAACTCCCTATTTGTACAAGCAGAGTACGTGTCTATAGACAGTACGGGAAATATCCTATTCATTTCCGATGCCGGAAGCAATAAAGTTCTTGCCATTCAAGTTGATGGAAGAAGACTATGGGAGTTTACGTACCAGGGATTCAAACCCTCTTGTCTTAAATGTGTAGATATGTACATATATGTTTGTGACCGAGACCAGCATCGTGTTTTGATGCTAAATATGGAGGGTAAAGTGGTGAAACAGTCTATTATAGGGAGGCTGGAAAACCCGAGGGCTTTGTGTTTCCACAATGCTGCCACTCATTTGATTGTTACCCAGATGCGATATGACGCTATTGTTAGTCCACCACGCCCCATACATGTGTACTCATTACAATAGTGAGTCCAGTCTCTTCCCTCCGGTTTTCTTCCATTGGTTTAAAGAAAAATTATCATGAAAAATCGCACAAATTCAGATCATTTTATACGTGTTCCGGAATAAATCGGTATTTAGCTTTTGTTTAATTTGAAACAAGTCAAATTTACTTGTTATTTTTAATTCTTTTTTTATAATACAGACTTTTATAGAAAGACTTATTTGAATGAATAATTATCATGTTTCAATTTCTGATGCCAGGAAATATCAAATAATAGTGAGAGTTTGACTGTTTTATGGTTAGGGTTACAGATTAATTGCTCAAATTTTCTAAGGAACTGTGTTAAGAACATTTTCCAGTTACAAAACAGACACTCGCCCACAGAGATGGGAAATTTAATAGACTATCTGGACAAAACAGGACAATTTATATAAATTAAAATAGATTTATATAAATTGTCCTGTTTTGTTAAACATTAGCACTTGCAAATTACGCACACACAGAAATAAAACAGAATAACCTATGAAACTTGACAAAAAAATCGAGCGTTTAAGTTTGATAAAATATTTCATTATCTATCTATAGCAGACATTTGAGTTTGTATTGTATATTCAAAATTGATTATCCTTGTTTTAAAGCTGGTTGCAGGGCGATAAGACAGAAACAAACAGAATATTCATTTTCATTACAATAAAAGACGTCTGCATTAAACGAGTATTTGTCCTTAAAGTAATCTGCCTACTAGGAACGGAACTATTCAAGATAACTATTTAAAAAGATGATAGTGACATTTTATTATTATTAATCTTTATTCTTTAACGAAGTCTGCTACAACTTCCACTCTTTAAAATTTTACGGAAAGTTGTCGTCTGCTATATTTCTTATGTCGACTGTTGTCGTCTGCTATATTTCTTATGTCGACTGTTGTCGTCTGCTATATTTCTTATGTCGACTGTTGTCGTCTGCTATATTTCTTGTGTCGACTGTTGTCGTCTGCTATATTTCTTATGTCGACTGTTGTCGTCTGCTATATTTCTTATGCCAACAGTCGTCGTCTGCTATATTTCTTATGTCGACTGTTGTCGTCTGCTATATTTCTTTTGTCGACTGTTGTCGTCTGCTATATTTCTTATGTCGACTGTTGTCGTCTGCTATATTTCTTATGTCGACTGTTGTCGTCTGCTATATTTCTTATGCCAACAGTCATCGTCTGCTATATTTCTTATGTCGAAACTTCGTTTACCGACAGTTTAGGCTTCTACCATGATTATACTGCAAGGTAACATCATGTTACCTGGTTACTTTCTTATTAATAGATAAATAAATAAATATCATTTTATGTCTTCGTCGAGTTTAAACAACCAGTATTTTTTCAAAAAAATATGCTAGTAAGTGGTCACTTTTAAAATTTGACAATTAAATGAAATGTCACTTACAAACTTTCATAACCTTCTTCACTATTGTAGACAACATTTTGGTGTTTAAGGTTACACTTTTATGAATTTTAATGTATTTAGCATAAGATAATATATTTCGTATAGTAGACACACGTTTAACATTGTCAGGTGTAATTGCTATTGTTTATGTATTAAAAATATCTTAAAAAACAATACATGTGAAATATGATACAATACATGTTTGACAGGTTATTATCTTTTACAATAAAGCATATTATTGAAATTCTTTATAGATCGCCCACAACCCAGTAACTTAAGTACATAGTTTTCTTTAGTTGCCTTTTTTTATTATTTCAAGTAGGAGTATTATTAAACTATCACAATGATATGATTGTAACTTTTGTCTCTTTTTTTATCAATAAATCCTCAGTTTCTATGTAATAACTTTATATTACCTTTCTCCAGCGAAAGAGGTTTCATTGATTGCAATGAGCCTCCCATAAGATCAAATAATAATTTAGTATTTATTTTAATGCACGAGATTTTGTGTTCAAGGAGGACAAAACATTGTACTCCTTTTTTATTCGTATCACATGCACGAAGTGCACGAGTTCTTTGATTGGTTTGTTTGCTATTCTGTTTTCAATTTACATTTTAAATGATATTCCGCAAAATTGCCAAAACATTTTTTTACTGGAGTGTATTTTTTAACTCACTATTGATGTTAACTGCACGTGAAATGTTGATCTCGCATTTTCTCGAGATATACGAGAACTTCGTTCCGTTGACATGTTAGTTGTTTTATTTATATGTTTAACTGGTGTTTATTTGTTGTTTATGTAAAATAGTGCTGAGTGTATTTCTTTAATTGTTTCACACTTTTTTGTTGACATGATAAATCCATCGTTGGGACTCACGGGTACTGACTTATAAAGTGTATACGTTACGAGTACGAATGGGTACCGAGGATGGATAAAATATTTTCTCATCCACGTTGTTGTCGTCATAAATGCATTATGGGTGTATAATTTGAAGTGAGACTTACATTAAAGGTTTAAGGGACATTTTTCACATAAAAATATTGTGCAATTTACACGTGATGTTTGTACATTATGTATATTTGTGATGAATAAACGGAATATTTTAGACCATAGTCTTTAGTTATATTAAATTGTCATAACATTTGCGGTCTTTATGAATTCTTTATTTGCGGCAAGTCTAACAAACAATGTGATTCGCATTCCCGTCAAGTCCTTTAAAATTGCATGCTTCGAGAACCGATCATAAACAGATAAATATTTCATAAGGTACACCGCTTCTAATCTTAAAGGCTCATTAGGGCTCGGAAATGCTTTTTATTTTTTTATCCTAAAAAGCTTTTTTTCATTTTGGTGTACTTTTATTGTATCCAAAAAATTGGCTAGTTACTGAACCTATCGTTTTCTTCTGTTGCTTTTTGGCAATAAGTACACTTCTAGTGAATAAGTGTTTTGTATGGAAGTTAAAAAACTACTTTGTTTACATTTTTACTACTTTTACAATGTATGACAAAACATTTGACATTTTTCGTTACTTTTTTTCAGGTAACAATCATCTAACATTCTCTTAAACCATTATTTAAACATTATAAAATCCATTTTTGCCTTTTCTAAAGACGTAAAAATTTATTTGTTTATGAGGCATGATAGGCCTTTAAGATATTCCAATTTGCTACCGACTTTAACCTTTAACTACAATGTAGTATTTTTCAAGCAAAAAGTTAACTTTACAGAACTTTTTCTTTAAAGTACAAACAAATACGCTAAATTGAATTATCTTAAATCGCCCTTGTTTATTAGTGACACCGCATTTTAATGAATTTAATCGTAGAACCACGTGAATGCTGATTAAATGAAAAAGCCCAGGCGTTAGTTTTTCTAACATATTTGTTATTCTTAACAGCGAAACTATGCCAGTTCTCATGATTTAGAATGATAATTTCATTTCGAACTGACAGTAATATTTACTTTTTAAGTTACTCACCCGCAGTTTTTCTTTACACTTGACAAACCAAAATTTTTCATATAATGTAATAATGTAGTACTAAATGACTGAAATGCGTATTAAATAACAAGTATAACGTGAAGAGTAAAATTTAAAAAGAAAATATCAGCATTACTTCAAACTACCTTTTTTTATTACGATTGAATAGTAGCAAAGTATACCACAAATTGAAAATATCGTATAACAAGAGTTAGTATATGAACATTATACTATATAGGCAAAAAACTTGATATACTCCTACTTTCATGGTATGTTAAAGGTTAAGGAAAATACATACACCCAAATAGAAGAAGAAAAAGATGTTAAAATGAAGTCTACTTAATGCAGATATTTTTCTTTTGCATTTATAAGGGGCGTAATTGTATTTATAATATCAATTAATTTAGTAACACGTCATTTCCCTTCTTTAATCACATATCAGCCTGGATTTATTCTTATTTGGTGGTACCTTGTTATTTTAGCCTAATTCTGAGAGGATTTTCTTCTTCTTTTTTCTTGGTGGTACGGCTTATTCATGGAGAATATCTACTTATTCAGTATGATGTCTTACTAAAGAAATGCGACATTTTGTTTGTACAATTGATGGCCTTAAAGTTGTGACTATATACGTCGTGAAGCACCCCCCCCCTACCCCCCCCCAAAAAAAAAAGCGGAAAAAAAACCCAATAGATTTTGATATACATGTATATTGCAGCTATGTTAATACTGTATACAATATATGTATTGTGCAAACCGCCTTCAACGACAGTTAAACCATCCAGATTTGTAAGTAGAAAAAATGAATGTGTGCATTTCTATTAAAAAACCACACAGTCATATTGTCACTTGAAATTAGAAGAAAAAAAAACATAAATGTAAAACCTAAATAAATACAAGGAATGTGTGCTTCATTTTTCTGATCATGCACGAACGTTAAAGAATAGTAACTCTTAAGGAATGTTTCAACTAACCTATCAGAATTGTTTCCCTTGCTTAAACAGTTGCGCATATCACACTGGTCAGTAAAAACAATTCTTAATTTTGACTGATGAGAATAGTTTTCCTGCAAAGAAGGGTAAAAAAAATCTTGAACGAATTCTTTACGTTTTATATTTTCTTACAAGAAAAACTGACTTTAAGAATAATTATTGTTTGCCTTGCCCAAATGTGTCGATAAATGAGACGATAACTGACGTTTTGCCGGTATTTTCAATGTTTCACGCGGATAAACCACATTTCACTCGCAAACATTCTGAAATTTTAACAAAAACAGGAATACAATACTTATAATTACTGCTTTCAGTTATATACATGACCAGTTTGAGAATATATAATTATTATAAACACGTAAGTTCAGCAGAGTGGAACAGTAGTTTCAGAAATTATAATTTATTTAGATGGTAAACTTGACATCAGGTTGTCATGGTAATTATACATGTCATTGTCTTCAGAGAAAAAAAGTTTTTTTTTTGTAAGTTTAGACTTGTACAAATTAAAATTTTTGAAATGTTTTTTAAATATAAATATATCAGTCAAATTATTACAGATTTCAACGCAGTCCATGCATGACCTTGTTAACCATTATAAATACTAAAGGATGAGTACAATGATATTCGTGCGTAAAAAAAAACACTTTGCTATTACATTTTTTTTTATACTACAACCCGATAGCTAAAACAGATATGTCATATTGAAGTGAATTTATGCAAAGAGATTTTTGCAAAGAGTGCATTGCGAGAGTGTGTGACAGGAACGCTCACGTGGAGGTTAATGTGTTTTTTCAAAAAATGTCAAAACTAATACTGCAACCCTACTATTGCCCGTTTGAACTGACTTAAGTTGGGCAGGGTGGCAGTGTAGCTAGGGAGTTTATTCCATAGTATTATACTATGAGGGAAGAGAGATTACTTACGGTAGCCGGAGAAAACCTGTATTTGACGTAGGGATAGGGGGTGCATATGTCTGGTTAATCTTTGTGGGGCTTGGACATAATGGTGGGAGACTAAGTGCAACTAGATTAATCTAAAGTACACTAATAATAATCCTTCACACCCTTTTTAATGTCCGGTTTTTGGAAGAACAGATATAATAAAGATTTCACCAAGAAATCGTCCGGAATTAGGAATTTAGAACTTCTGGAATTTAGAAATATGAATTACATAGATAACAGAAGAAGAAATTTCGTGACCCTGGCAATTGTTCGGATTTCTGAGGTTTCGGGAATTCAGAAATTATGCTGTATTTAACTAATATGTGCTTGTTCTGTAGAAAGAAATCAAATGTAGAAAAATATCCAATCCCAAATATAATACGAAATAGATTTAAACTATTTTGTTGTTGTTTTCTTTCTATGCAGATCGTCTAAATTAGTCTTGCAGTTACTCTAACGTTATATTATTTTTACTAATACTTACAAAGGTTAGAATAAAATCACAGACAAGAACGCTTTAAGCCTCTCCACGTGGTTCTTTCTTCCCTTTCCTAATCGGCTTTCATAAACAAGTACTTTACTAATATCTTCTTTAAGGCGATCAATTTCATAACTAGACCGTATCAATAAAAAATCAATCCTGAAGTAATGCTGTTATGTGTTGTAGGTGTATTTATACAGGAGCGTAGCCTGATCTACAAACATTGAACCTATCGAAGGGTCCGCTGGCAGTCTTCAAGCTGTAGATTGGAAAGAGGTGATTCTAGAAATAAATTCTCCAGGCAAAGTGCCGATAATTGTCTTGCATCTGTTTATATGCAGTGTTCAAAAGCATTATTTTCTCAATAATATGGTAGATCTTATAGCATCTTAGATATATTGGAAAAACCTTTTATATACTTACAAGAAAATAAACTATGATGCATACATAGCGACTGAAACTGGCGCTACGCCCCTTTTTAATCCACAAAATATCCACATTATGTGTGAATCCACATTACGGAGACTTGGTTTTAACTTCGTTTACTTCTTCTATTTGGGTATATGTGATTTTTTTTTACCCTTTATCATATTATAAAAGAAGGAGTATATCAAGTTTCTACCTATATAGTATCATGTTCATAAGCTAACTCTTGATATACGATATTTTCAATTTGTGGTATACTTTGCTACTATTCAAACGCTAATAAAAAAGGGTCGTTTGAAGTGATTCTGATTTGTTTTTCTTTTTCAACGTTTTGCTCTGATTTCCGTACACCAATTTTATTGAAGTTTGGTGACGCCGTTGAAGATAGTATAAACATGATGTGTGGTGTGGGGGAGGGGAGGTGACTTAGATGTAGATTAATAAACATCCCGAAACTAGTTTAAGTAGATGGAATTAAGATATGAAATACAAGATGCGTGAGAACTAAATAATACTCTTAATATCATAACTTTGATATTTCAATACTTTTTGGTCTGTTTTCTTATAACACCACACATTCATTAATGATTCGAGTTGTCTTTCCTGAATCGAGGCTGCCAATCAGAACTCCAATTTCGACTTCTACTGTCAGACCAAATACATTTACACACTTTCATTATAAAATCAACACAACTTTCAAAGTCGTTCCGGTAAATACTAATCCTTTCGGGTTTATTAATGTATTGAAAAAGGTATAATATGTATCATTTCGTTAAATGTCTACAACTTTCAATAGATAATAGATACCTTCTAAAAGTTTCTATTGTCCGGTTTACATATCGTCTTTTCAATGTTTTAAACTTTTTCCTTTCATCCTGTCCGATTCGGACGCACTAACTACCGGGCATTTTAATATAAAATAGCGGCTATTTTGTGATCCCGGCGTTTATAAAATCTCTACCTTGTATCTATCTAGATTTTAAGTTTTAATATATATCTGCAGAGAAGTGGAGCGAAAACTTATGGACAATTTACAATTATAGATGAGCGGAGCGATATTATTTATGAAATAAATGAGAAAATTGTAGATTCAACTTGAAAATCGAAACGACTGAGTGAACACGGAGTTTTATTGATGGATTCTTGTGCTGCTTATAAAATATATCATATACGGGGTTTGTGTGATATAAGGGATGTCAATTGCGTGTAGTGATAAAGATTTCTTTTCTTATTTTTGCTGAATGAATTTTTATAGCAAATCTTTTCGTCCGTGGATTTAACAACAGACTATTCTTTCATGTAAATTTTCTGCTCGATGCGTTTTTGAAACGGTCTCTGACTTCTTCTTGTGAAAGGGAGGCATAGCAAGTAAAATTACGGCTGCATAAAATTAAAATATTTTAACATTAATAATTTCACAAATATTTCGATGTATATGTAAACCGCGTTAAAGGTTAATAATTTTAGATGTAATTATTCAGTGTCGTTAAATCCAATGCATATGGTGAAATAAATGCGTGGTATTTTGATTGAAATTTAGCCTTGTTGCTTTTTAAACATCTTAAAGTTCAAAGTAGTTACAAAGGTTAACTTTACACAAGAAGGTGCGAGCGCGATACATCGCTTAAGTGAAATTTGACTCCTTACAAAAATGTCGCGAAACCAGCAATCTGCCGATTAAAATCTGGAATAAGTAGGTATTCTGTGTTATTATGGCGGATTATTTTCATTGATTATCTATATCGATTAGCAAAATAGTGATTGGAATTAATTAAAACATGTCATCATTAGTAGTGAATGGGGGAATCCCTCAATTGAACGTTTCTAGTAGTTCACAGTGGATGGAAATTCAAAGAAATACTTTTAAGAATTGGGTAAATGAGCAATTAAAAAGTGGAGGTCAATCTATCTTTGATTTAAGGACGGATTTTGCCGATGGTGTCCTTCTTGTGGCTTTGATTGAGATATTACAGAGACGAAAATTACCCGGGGCTGTTAGAAATCCCGCCCATAACCACGAGAAGCTACACAATATCACACTTGCCTTAGATGCCATTGCTAAAGACAATGTCACTCTTATAAATATAGGTATGTATATAGTAAATGTATCTTACAACACTTTCAAAGACGAGCTTATTGAATTTGTATAATTTGGTATATATTTGTACACCTATATTTGGTATACATTGCATTCATGTATTTAGGTGCGTCCGTGGCCCAGTGCTTAAGGTCGTTGACTTCAAACCACTTGGCCCTCACCGCTGTGGGTTCAAATCCCGACAGGGACTTCGGATTCTTTCATGTGAGGAAGCTATCCAGCTAGCTTACGGAACGTCGGTGGTTCTACTCGGGTGCCCGTTCGTGCCTAAAATAATGCACGGAAGGGCATCTGAGGCCTACCTCCACGAGTAAAGCTGGTACGTCGCCATATGACATATACTGTGTCGGTGTGACGTAAAACCCACTATTTATGTATTTGGTATAAACTGTGTTCATATATTTTATATACAAGTATTTGTTTCTCGAATTTCTTCGTAAGTGTGCCCAACATCTCTGTCTTGACAGTTTTGTTGTTAAACGTCCTGTTTCGGTGAAACAACATGGCAAATATAATGTAACATTTGCAATTATCATTATTTCCATAGTTGCGGTAAACAAACTTATGTATTGCAATACATACATGTCCATTCTTAATTAGTATTGTTTTATTTTGTTATTGAATATAAAATGTTTGATAGATCTACATATGATAAAAGAATTTGCCTTTTTAAATCAGGTGCCACAAAACTGTAGACAGAATAGGGGAGGGGGCAGTAAGGTTTAGTTTTGTTAAAACCGCTAGTTCACCTGTACGTAGCCAGTAGTAATACCTGCTAAAAGCATAAGCGAGGTTTTTAAAAACCAAGTACTACAGTGAGAAACATTGCGTAAATGTTTGAAGAGGTTATTCTCTTTTTATGTGGTATACCCAATAACACCCACCCACTACGCAATATGCTTTTGAAAACGCCCATAAAAGCAAACTTCATCTGTTGTGATTATGTGAATTTTCTTTCATGAAAATGTTCAAAAAATATACTAAGAAAAGGTTGTAAAATATCATTTTCATTCAGTGATATAAAAACAACTTTCTTCAGTGTTGAAGAACGATTTCTATAAAATTGCAACAACACATTGATAGACAGTACGACTAAATATGAAATGAAATGTAAATCATTCAGAAATTGTTGGGTTTTTGAGGCTTGGCTTGTGGGGATGGGTTTTAAACTTGGCATACTATGGTTATCATGTATTATTCTGTGATTGTATCTCATCTAGCAATTGTTCTAGGTTAGGTTGTGATGATGTTTGTGTGGCGGTGAAAAAGGGGGATGGGTTGGGAAAGGGGTTTGGGTTGCCAAACTACTTCGTTTTTAGATGTTCTTGTGTTTCTAGTTTCTTCACGTCTTTGAACTAAAATAATACAATTTTGTTACTTTAGTCTAATAATACAATCATCTATTTATAATCACAAAGTTGTCAAAGCTCGATTTGTGTTTGATCGGGTTTTTTTTATTTACATACGACAATTTTTAAACCATCATGAAATGTGTAGGAGCGTGCAATATAAAGAAAATGTTTATTACAAGGGAAAAACACTTTTGGTTATTACGGATTGTATTTCGCCGTTTTTTTTATGATGAATCACAGTAAAACATCAACATACCGCATAAAAATAACATTATTCGAAAGCCTTGGATCAAATTTTGATTAACTGCGTTACACACAGTGCATGAATCGTTTGCATAACGAAATTTTAAGACTCCGCATACCTATAAACTTCTTTATGGCTGAGTGACAGAAATAATCCACGGTTTCATCAAAGTAAACTTCATAAAATTCGCCCACATTAGTTATGGTAATACATTACATTCACTTTTGTAAATATCAGAAAATTAAAAAAAAAACGCATGGGAAAGTCTTGATTTAGGTTTGTAAGCTAAGCTATGCAGTTGACATAAAGTGCATTTTAAAATCATATGTTTATCTATTATTTCATCGCAAACAAACTGAAAGTGTGTTTTTATAATATGAATACACACTCTACATTTTTCATTTGGATAAATCGATGACAAACAAAACTATGCTGATTAATCAAAATTCCAAAATAAAAAGAAAAGATAATATCAGTATTTGTGTACAAATTGTGTTTTACTGGAAAGATAATGGCATGGCGTATAATTTCATCACATGCAACATTAAAGAGCAATATCCATTGTCATTGATTTACAATTATTGTCGTCTGCAATCAATAAATCAACGTTGAAAAACTAGAATCTTCAATCAGGAATTCATGTATGAAGAGGTTTTTTTTTAAACGAAGAGTTATTCTAGATGAAAGTAAAGATAGTATGCATCAATAAACTCCATGTTGTTATTAATTTAAGATGGAGGAAAAACTTAATGTGCGTCTGTACAAATAGGTCCATTGAGCGAGATGACATTATATATATGTATCTGTTAATTGGTTCATAAGAGTCGATTTGAGATTCCAGCAAGTCCTATGTAAATTAGTTGTTTTTTTTTCTCCTATTCAAACCCTGTATGAATTTTGTTTTCTGAGAAGAATAAATATAAGAATAAATGCTTTAATATTACATTCTAACTGATGACAGCATAAAAAGAAATAAATATAACAAAAAGTGAAACACCATTAAACCATATAATTAGAATGGCTTCCTTGTCGCTGTAGGTAAATAAATGACATCTTTTGACATTAATCTAATAACCTTCATTTATAAAGACTAATTTCTTGAATATTTACATATAGCATTAATGAGAAATAGTTTTTCATCTAAATAAACTCCTTGAAAATATTATTATAACATGCTGATTAAGAAAAGATTTTAATTTCAGTTTCCTTTTATATCTTTAAACTTTGTTTCTGTAATGTTTTGTATTAGTTAACGTGTAGGTATTGCCGTGGTCCCCATCGTCGCGCGTGCATACATCTCCTCCTAATATTTGGTGGTCAACAGATAATACTATTGCTAGAATGACCTTTTTGTGACCTTATTTTGAAGTTAATGGTGGCCAGATCTTTTTAGTGGCATCTCCTCTTCAACCATGCTTCAGGTACATAAACGATCTTTAGGTGGTCCATTTTAAAATTTGCTAAAATGGTTTCATGCTAAATACAGAAATTAGACTTAAATGGCATCTCCTCTACCCCTCGGATCAAGAGTCGTCCATGGCCAAGTAGTTAAGGTTGTTGACTTCAAACCACTTGCCTAGTTAAGGTTGTTGACTTCAAACCACTTGCCCCTCAACGCTGTAGGTTCGAATCCCACTGGTGACTTTGAATAAATTATTCTTCCATGTGAGAAAGCTATCCATCTAGCTTACGGACCGTCGTTATCTACTCTGGTGTTGATATAAAGCACGTGAGCACCTGATGTAAAGCTGGAAAGTCCCCATATGACCGCTTCTGAGTTGGTGCAACCTAAACCCCAACTAAGTCATTTCATAATTTGGATAAAAAGTAATAAATAGGAAGGTCCATGTAGACCATATCATCATCATCAAGGGAGCCATTAAAGGCCAGTATAGCCCTCAAAAGAGAAGAAGTGATGTATTTTCAAGTTAGATCCAGGTCTTTAAACAATTGCAATGCATAAGAAAACGTTGTAAGGACCTTAATCAAAAAGAGTGTGTATTTATATTAACGAATGGTATTTTGGAGAGTGAGTGATATGGTAAAAAACGTCTTTTGATTTTTTTATAAAATATGTCAAAATATATATTTTATTTCTATCTTCTTACAATTTTAATTTCATCACATTCAAGTACAAATTCTAATGTTTCTTAAGTTTTAAAGTGACAATTAACCTAATGACATAATCAGTCAAATCTATCTAAACCTATCGCTACAAGGCGTGTTAAACAACTTTATGAAACATTTAGAAATAACACCGCGTTAAATAAACTATAGTTCACAGGTAAAGTCAGTATTTAGGATATGTTAACTATTAAAATATTTTCTATATCACCTGCCAGTTAAGTAGCCTTATGTCTAGAGCTTGTTATGTCAGTAAGCCGATTTATAAACGAGCGGCTGACGATTTAGTTTTACCCATTTGTCAATATTATGTTTTTTTTTCTGAAATCGATCTTTTTTGATCATTATTAAAGTTCGACGCTAAAACATAACAGTGTTCAAATGCGTGAAAAAAGTTTAAAGACCCGTAACGACATGCTACAAGGTTTTTTAAAAATTAGTCTGGTGGGTAGATTTATTATAACGATATATCAATTACAGAGTATGAATGAGTCCACTTAAAGTTTGTAGAAGTTACCAAATATTGTTCAAATAAAAATCTAAGTGTATTATATATTGTTATGTAAATGGAACTAGAAATTAATATGAAATAATGATATGCCGCGATGAATCGTTTACGAGTATGTATTAAATCATCGAAAAATGTTTTTATAGTCGGTCCGTTTCTATAAAATGATAAAAATAAATATTGCATCCATTGTCTTGTTCATTCAAAATATCAGTTCACTAATATGACATATTTGCTTACGTCATTTTCTTTAAAAGGAGGATTTGAATTTCCTATTGGAGAATTTTGTGCTGAATAATGTTGACCTCCTTTTACAAAAAACTGCATTGATAAAAACGATATAAAGATAATATTTCTTTTCTATGGGTGAAAAAACGTAAATCATATGAAGCAGATTTTAAATTGAGTCATTTAAAATTTGATGATGCATTTTATAAAGAGGGATATAACCTAGATATGCATAAAAATGATAGGTGATGTGAGTTAACTGTACAACATGTAGGTTCGAAGTATGTAATGGTACACGCAGAACTATCATCAACACCCAAATGGGTACCGGGTATACCGGGGCTTACCGCAAATCTCAATCAAAACTTAAGTTATTTTTTGAAAAAATTTATGGGATTTACTTAGAAAATTTTTACTTTATAATTCAAATACCTCCACAAATATCATATGTTTAATTTAGAACGTGAAAATAAAGCATGTAAGGATAAGTTAAATAATTGATTGTCTGATGAGTTCAGGTCTTTTTATCTACGT